AAATTATATTTCCTATCTCCTTGGCGGCGAGCCAAGATATAATTTATAACGCGCTAATTGCGTGGGATGATTTGTGTTACCTGGCAAACAGCATGGCTTAGGTAAGCGATGAGTTGTAATATATGTAACTGCATAAGTGATGTGACTGTGTGCCAGCAGTGTTTACAAAACCGCATAAGAACTGAGTCCCAATAAAAACCTTTTAGAACGAATTGAATACAAGTGTTTTTTTTTTTTTTTTAGTTAATTATAGGTACCAATCGAGTTTTTGTAAAGTTTAAAAAAAGTACTTATTTATTGAGGCCATGCATTTTAACTAACCTAGTCGCGTTAGACCAGGAAAAACATTTTCTTCCCCATTTTTACAAACTTAAGACTGTCTGTAAGAAAATTATATTTTAGGTGGGCATGGTTGACATTTTTTTTTTATGTTAATTTTTAAATATTTAGAAAATTATATGTATCTACCTAATATGTTGTATTATTAACTTGCTTAAAATAATAAATAAACAAATGTTATGTTTTACCCACATCAGAAATTCAGAAAAACTTTTACGTATTCAATTCTATAGGTACCAACTACCTATTTGTTTTGTTCGTAACAGCTGTATTTTTTTCAGTAATTTTCATTTTCTTTTCTTTAGATATTATGGTATAATATCTTCTGGTTAGATTCAGTAAAATTAATGTACTAAGTCAGTGCTCAACGATTTCGGTAAATCTGTTACAACCAGACCTCTAGAAATACACATGAAAGTATAAAACCATACAAAATAAAGACAATTCATGGACTCAATATTGACATATTTTACTTTTCTAAAGTACGGACTCAATTAGTGTATATTTTTTCGCTCGTTCAGTAACGGAATTCAATCATTCTACACCGGCTTATAAAATAATAATAGATCGATTAGGAGGTACCTAACGACTTGTAGGTACGAGGTACCTAATGTAAAAAATAAATATTTAAATTAATTATAATGTAGAAGTACTAATTATGTAGGTGTACCTACTACTATAGGTAGGTACCTTTATTCGCACTGTAGTACCTACACGATATTGTGTGTTACAACTTGAGATTAGGTAGTCAATTGATTGTAGCAAGTGTTTCCATGTTCATATAATTACAGTAATATAGTAAGCTTTCCCTTTTATCGTGAATACGATTTGAATAAATCAAATCTCTTTTACTAGATAATTATAACGTTAAAAAAATTATGGTAAAATCGGGTAGGTACCTAAATTCACTTTTTAAATGATCTCTCCCATAATTAATCATTTCAAGAAGATACAATACTGTATAATTCGATACATGCTACCTATTTTCCAAACTGGCACATGCCACACTAAATAATATGTCCAATCCCTGCCAAAATGTAATTAGATAATAATAGTGGATTTACTACCTTTATCGTAACACCTAGCTATTAGTATTACATCTGACTACTGCTGCAGTCACTGCTTAATACGATTTATATTCAAACCACCATAATAACGCGAACGCAAAAGCAGTGATAGTAGTAACACGATTCGGCAATAAGCCAATAACTGACAATATTATTGATGATTCCATGTTATGATTAGGCGTGCACCTTTTATTAAATCATCGAACTTGATACTATATGTTTTATACAACGATTAAAATTACACACAATCGTTATATATTGACCTGATGCGATATAAATTATAAATTTGAAAATAATACCTTTTTAAAGTATCTATACTACCTAGGTAGGTACCTATTTATTATGATTATATGCATTTCTATATTATGTATATTACCTACCTATTATTTGTCTATTCATATAGGTCTATAAGTATTTTGATACCTGTATAATATAATATAATGTGTACGACGTATGTAAACTATTTCAAGTGTTTTTAAGGCAAAAATAATAAACAAAAACAATGCTCAAAAATTGATTCATAATATAAGTATATATTATACCTACCTAATAATAGATTTTATTTTTATTTTTGTTACAATTATTCAATTTTCAATAACTACCTATAAGCATCTTCGAATAATAGAACGCCACTAATCACTATTATAACCATCACTCTGGAAAAATAAAAATTAATTATATATAATTATATAATTATTACTACTATACCAATAATATTACTGTCATTACAATAGAACCTGGATCTTACAAAAAAAAATTAGTATATAACTCAAACTAGAAAATTAGAAATTTACATGCAGTTTTATTTTATTTTTAGTGTTTGGTTTATTTTTCAGAAACTTTAACAGTTAATAGTACTTAGTATCAACTGATTATTTTTAATTTTTTATTAATGTACTTTTCAGAATATAATTTGCTCCACTTCACAAAAAAGACTCATATAAGTAGTATGAGTCTGGACAGTTCGACTTTTTTCAAAAGTGACTACTATTCATGAAACAAGATAAGCTAATTAATAAAATATTTATTTTTGATGACTTAATTAATTCAATTTTATTTTATTTTAATATATAAAAAACATATTCAAAATTGAGTACATAAAATATTTTTATAACTTATGAAAAGTACTTTTGCAAAAAGTGTTATTGATGAATTGTTTTTGATCAACTGTCCTAGGATCACATTTCAGTATATTGTATTCTAGTTTTTCTTTGATTTTATAAGGTATTAAAACCATCTATAATTATTCTTGAACTGAATGCCAAACTTAAAGCGATTCAACTCCACTCAAATTCGTTAGTCGTTATAGTAAACGCTAACCAATATAATAAAACGATATTAAAAACATCAACAATATTATTAAATGTACATAGGTACCTATAAGGTTATAACCGTAATTCCGAATAGCCAATATCGGTTTTCCAGAAAAGTTACCTACACTTGGATAGTATATTGTAGTACATCGGTTATACAAGTACTGTCTAAGATATAATGTAATGAATAATGATAATAACGCCTTAACTTTGGGGGTGTATTTAAGGGAGGGGTACAAGAGCCATGTGCCCTCCGCCCAGTATTGGCTGTATTTATATAAGTAATTTTGCAATGCATATTATTTGGTTGGTGCCCTCCTCCTCCCTTGCATGGTTTGTTAGTGTGGTATATAATAGTTCAAATAACTTGATAATAACTTAATAATATGTAAATAAAATTGTATTTAAACAGGGGCACGTGCAGTGGCGTGTAGTGAAACTCGGTGGCCCTAGGGCCTATATGAGGTGGCAGCCCACTTAAACACAGACATTAAATTATGAAATTGTGATGCTAGAAAGAATCTGATGGAATAAAAGCTAATTAAAATAAAAAAATTATCATAATAATAATTTCTTTACTGCTTATAAATTCATTTAACGCAAATAACATAATGTAATTTGAATAGCTTATTAAAAATAATAAACTTTTCGTTTTACTGATAAAAAATAATTTATAGTAAGTAATTTTTTTTTCATGTCATGTTAAAAGTACTACCTGTATGGCCTCTAAAATTGTCTGTACCCGGGAATGAAATATCAAAAATACTACACAATTAATATTCGATACATCGAAAGTCTTGGGGGATAGTTAATATTTTTGATATTTTAAAATAAATGCACCTTTAATCATAAGATAAGCATACATTATCATGAGGTTTTTTTCAGCAAATATGCACCATGAAACCATTCTTGGTTGCTAACTTTATCATGTTTCCTAGAATGGCTGTATTTTGCATTAATCCGTGATACAACTGTACTGAATTATATTTTTCCAATGGTGACATGTTAATTTCCCGTATAGACAATCATACTCTCGATCAATTTTATATAGCGCCAGAGAAAAGTGATGACCACCCAGATGTTTTAAGAATATTATATAATAATTAATAAGAAATGAATTACAATATTTATTTTGTAGGCAAGCGATTGCATTTTTAAGAGCAGTGGTACATTCACACTATAAGTGAAAATATTCAATTACATATTATTACATCTAAACTAATGCAAGATTATTCCACATTAAATTTTTTTAGTTTTTCGATTTCAGTGTATAACCTTTTCATCTATGCTTTTACTTACACTTGGTCGATAACAAAAGAAAATTTCAAAGATAATAGGCACCTATAGTTGTCGGTCAGTATAGTCGGCGGTTCAACATTGAGTGTTATTGTTTTTAAAAATGTTAGAACTTCAAACTGCACTGCACTATTATACGCAGACTGCACCGACTTTGTGCTCGAAAACACACTATGCCTGCCTGTGAGGGTCCGGGCCTGAATACTCCACTGGGCAAGTGCAGCAGGTGTCTGTATACAAATATGATGGACATAATTTTTCTTTTCTAAAAATGTTCCGGTGCACTTAAGTATTTTATAATATCAGCTATACTATTCACTTTTGGCCTGTGCCTCGGACTGCAGTTAAACTGTGCACATCTTCCACGATTTATCAGTTCACAATTAAATGCAATGTATAATATCCTTATATACAGGTAGGTAGGTAGATATAGAGTGGTATACTTATGTATATATATTATAATATTATGTTATAAAAATGACGTTTTGCTTATAATAATAATAATATTATATTATATACTTCTACTGTTTGGCGTCCTTGACCGTCGCGTCGCAGAGACCCACTACGATGATATTATACGTTTATAGAAGAAAAAATAAAATCGGTACACGGAAAACGAAGCCGCCCGGAACGTGTTGGGTAGGTTTACCGCGGGCGGCGGCGGCGGCGGCTGCAGTGGCTATTGCGCATTTTCTGATAATCTAACACCGTGTCGTGCGCGCGCTTCTCTCCCGCGTGAGCTACTTCCGAGAAACTGGTCACGTCCGGACCGGGTTGCCCGTCGGCGGCGGCGGCGGCGGCGACAGTGCTTCTATAAAGTCACCGGACATCCATTCACGACCATTCATTGCACTGCTCATCGTCGGGGACCGCGGCCGGGCACACACACACTGCACCGTTCCACGCAGAACGAACACCGCGCTCACACACGTGTGTACACACATCGCATCACTGACACTGCACCGTCGTTTGCCTGTCCGCCACGATGGTCAAGTACGCAGCAGCAGCAGCAGCGCTGGTGCTGGCGGTTACCGTCGCCGCGGCTGTCGCAGCCGAACAGACTGCCTCGCCGCCGGCTGAACAGCAGCCGCAGCAGCCACTGCACCAGAACAGCGGCGCCGATGACGGCGACGTGTCCTGGACCGAAGTGATCTCGTGCTACAAGAAGCCGCAAGTGGCCATCGGGTGCCTGGAGTCGCGCATGAGCCGCGCCATGGTGTCGATGCGCGACACGGCCGTCGGACTGGCCCACAGCGATCCGGAGGCCGCGGCCGAGGACGTGGCCGGCGTCGGCGATCTGGTCCAACAGATCGGCGAGTTCATCAAGTTCGGCATGTCCAGTTACTTCCGAGGCGGCAGCATCGACGAAGACGAAACCGCGGCCCAGTCCGCCGGCGGGTCGCCCGTCAACGCGCCGAAAGACCTCGACGAAGGTGAGTTGCTCTCTCCCATATTATTATTATTATTTATTATTTTATTATCATTACTATCGTCGTACATACATCTACTCGTCATTGCCGAATCACTACCGTTTGCCAAAAAATTTTATTTTACCATCACGACACTCCGTAATATAATGCTCCGTCGAACCGTTTTGCCCAGAACACAGCGTTGATGAACTCGCTACAACTGCCCGACGGTAATATTTCCGAGTTCCGCATCCCCTAATATGCTGATATTATAATATTATTATGACTTATCAATCGTTTCCATATAGTAGGCAGTAGGTTCCCGATATTGTTATTGATATGGGTATCGGATATATCGTTTACTCCGATCTTATAATGTTTTTTATGATAATAATTATTGACATTGAACTGCGCGGTTTGAGTTATGACTTTCCGACCGACGTTTACCACATCACCGACCGCACTTACACCAAACGATGTACCTATAAACTATTATTATTACAATTTTATTGGTATCCAACCCACACTCAATTCGGTGGCCAGTTTGTAAAAGGATTGTTTTAGGCACAAACTGGACATGAATCATAACAACCGACAAAACAGAACATTTACATAGGTACATTACTGTAATCAGACGTCAATTAATACCTACCCTTTTCATTAATACCCACTATCGTTCATTCGCTCAAATATGCACATGTACAGTCGTTTGTATGATCGGTTTTGGATTAACAAGTAGGCTTTATCAATTCGAAACTCACGGATAATCTGTGATACATATTCTTATTACGAAATATTTAATTATTAACAACGATAATACAAAATACAATCTTTATATACCTATATATATCTTTTTCTAAAACACTCAAAATACTAAGGACTACATATATAATTTTAAAGTTTAATTTTAGTGAACATAATTGCCCATTATTATTACAATAATATCTTATTCGGACAATCAACATAATGTTGTATTACATATTATGTCTTTAAACATTGATGACATCGATCGTCTAACAATAGTAACGTGTATAAGTGAACAACAATTTTTTACTACCTATGTACACGGTACATGATTTATGACTTTTACAATATCTAAGCTATTTTTTCATTACGCTGCACTACAACGGCTATTAAAAGTTACTGTTGACTAAACGATAATAGTAAATATTATAATATTATTTATGTACCTACCATTATGAGTGTGTATACCTACATGGTAAATACAATTGTTCATTCGGACTGTGGCGCCACGTGAAATAGTATTTTATTGTTAGATATTGTATTTACAAGCCATCGCTTGCACGTAGCCAAAACTAATTGTAGCAGGAAATATTTTATTTTTTGAACCAAATTAATGACTTTAGGTGAAATTGGACATTCACGATCCAGTTATTGTAAATGCAATTATGATGCATAGTTATACACTAGTACATGACAAAATGTCATTAATTGCATAACATGCAGCTGTTAGAATTGAAAATATTAACTATTCAAAAACATATTATAATTGTGATTTATGATGCATTAAATGTAAGTAGGTATACCTAACCTTGTAAATACCAAGTTTGTTTATAATAAAAAACATTTTTTATCAAAAGCCAATTAATATTATTTCCGAACACAACGTTAACAAATTATAGTTAGCAATTAATAAATTAAAATTTGAAATTGATGTCACATTTGGTGCAGCTATCTAAATACCTATCATAATAAAGTTTTAATAGGACTACAGACAATATACAAACGCCAATTAAAAATAATTGTTGAGTGATACGTACGGCTAGAAATTGAGAATTACAATTTTAATCATGATCATTGTTTCTCTGCAAAGAATAATAGAAAACTTATAATGTACATTTTTTAACTCATCAGGCATCACCTACTTTTTATTGGTTTTCTTCCATTCATATCGTAACAAACTACTTAGAACCGAATAATACAAATGAATAAAATACACAAGGTATAGAACGCATCAGTTGTTGTAAATTGCACATATCACAATATAATGACATTATGTCGACGAGAGTGCATATAGTCGTAGAAATGGGTATATCGATACACGTGGGAGTGACATTGATCGGAGTACGATCGAACAATACGTTCACACTCCATAGTAAGATAATATTTTCAAATTAGCTCGTGTGTCTTGTCACTCACGAAACTCATCTGAACACAATTACTGATCTGCGATTGGGTTTTCCAATTTTTGTTTGTTCGATATTTGCCCAATGGGTTTTATCAAAATGTATTAATTTTATCTTTGTAAAGTGAAAACATTCACAATTTGTACACTCCGGGGGAAAACGTATGGTGCCTCGTGTTTAAATAATCACACAAGCGATAACGGTCCACAAGGCCGCCGGAACACGGACAGGGCACCTGAACACACATAAATGCACACAACAATAATATTATATTATACCTACCTCGGCCGCCGTCGTGAAGATGATACCTACCTACTCTGTACTTTCACCGCGGTTGTGGTTAACACCTCTTGTAGTCTCGTGTTTATACACGATTTCTCGTTGAGATTCTATCGAAACAATTGAATATTATACCACTCGAGTTGTTTACTGCGATTAAAAATGCTAACGACCGTTATTACTCTTTAACCACTGCCCCGCAGAGCTAATTTCTCGGCAACAAGACTCCCTAGCCCAGATCGATATTCAAAAGCCCGTTTTTCCGATGAATAATAACATTTATAATCGAGTACGGTTGCATAATATGGGTATTGGCAACAGGTGTGAATTATTTCGTGGCGCCTTTGAGCCAGTGCGTTTCGAATGGTTTTTCTTTGGTATTGAGCGAGTTACAAACTATACGTTCGCGTTGGCCATTTATTTGGCCCGCATCACTGTCGCAGACGTCGTTTGTAACATAATATAGTTAATTTTTTTTTTGTGGGTGGTCATTTTTTTTCGGAATTTACCATTAAACCAGTTTCTAAAAGTGTTACGGACGAGGACAAATAACACGCAAATGTCCGGAGAAAGATTAGACCCGAGGTGTCAAACCAGTTTGTTCGATCCGAAAAATAATACCCACGATAATTTATGTATATGTTTCACCGTCGTACACTTAAAATCGGAAACTGGCGGACTTCGGTGCGTGTCAAACAGTTGCCGTATTTGTATTTAATTACACGACCAGTGAATCCGTGTGTCGTGAAAATTCTATCAATGTTATTAATGTGTTTCTGATCTACACGAACCGGATGTTTGTATGCTACAACGTGACGGCCTAATTATATATACAAAAATCTTAAAAATCGAAAATGACCCGGGAGAAAGTATATTATAATTTTATGGGCAGTATCTATACCTATTTTATTGAACTATAACGGAGGAGGTGTCCATACCTGGTACTATATATATGGATATGATGACCGCGAGTTCTTGGTTTACCGTTCAAAGCTTCGACAACACACAGTAACAATTATATTCGATTAATAATAACATTAAATAGATCTGCATAAAACTCGTTTACAAGACAACCGGTCGTACCTATACCTATTGCAACCTGTGCACTCCCAAACACAATATTTGAAAAACCGTTAATGGTCTTAACGGGAATTATTTGCGATTTAATACAGCCATAAAATTAGTTATGTGGATTAACAGTTAATGCATCGACGAGTAATGGGATAATTATTATTTATTATATTCAAATAACATTTCACACGTATATAGCATTGCGCCAAATGAAAACATGCATTACAAACATGTATTATAAAACATTATCACATCTCGTGTAGGTATAATTGGTACGTTGAGTATAAAATTATTATGCGTAGTAAAATATTATTTTTACCCGTATATTGTTACTTGTTTTTTGTTTTTTTTTTTATGTGTTTACAACATAATCAGTGTTTAATTTTGAATATTTTTGCTCAATGAAACCTACGTGACGCGTTTAGAATAATTATTACAAATTACTATTGTACGCGAATCTTATTTTCATCACGACGTGTTACAAAAATGTTATTTTAAAATGCGTTTAACGCTTATTAATTACACAAAATTATTTAGAGCGTAAAATATAAAAGCGAATTGATCATATTAATTTGATTTTAACTTTTTGTTTAATATTTTCCATACACCTACTTTCATAGCACTCGTACATTACTATTATGTGAAAATAACGAAAGCAGATCTAATAATCTAGTATTGTAATATTAATGACCAGTTTAAAATCCGAATAGTCACAATAGGTGCTTTCATCAAAATGCTGATGTGAGTTATTAACTAGAACAACCTAAACACATATTTTAACACTGGAAATTATCGTGTAAATTGTACTTTTTACTTGATACCATGCCGAGGATTTATAAACTTATTGGTATCCTACTATTATATCACAAGGAAACAATAATGCGATGCGATTGAAACAAATACAAATACACGATAAACAATCACTAACAATAATGAATAATCAAAGGGTTAAAAAAATAATAACAACAAATAACAGTATTTGCATAAAAATTATACTTTGTTATTTTTTCGAAGTGCATCGAGCTTTACATGGGTTAATATATTTAAGTACATTTTAGTAGGCATAAAATAATTACAAGAGAAATCGTGAACAATAAAACAGGCCCTGGAATGTACTTGAAGTTTTTTTTTTTTTTAAATAAACCATAGAATGTGGACTGCCTCCTTTGCATAATCTCTCTAGTAAAAGTTTGCTGTCGGACTATGTACCCTTATAATGTTAAATTGAGTCAACCGGATTTTACCACACCGGTAATCAATTATTATATAGGTAGTATCCAGTTTTAGTCTTCCACTGTAAATCTCAAGTGTCTCTAACATAAACCAGTCTTATACGAAAATATATTATACACTAAATAAAATTGCCGTATTTATTTTTGTAAAGCACTAGATATCTATTTTTTTTATGTAATTCAACTTTTCTTTTCGATAAACTCTAAAAACGTGACTTTTAGTGAAAGCTAAAGAATTGATATTGAATCACTATTATGTGTATATAATACATATAAGTCATATACATATATATTTTTTTTATCTATAAAAGATCAATTTAAAAATCTTTATAGGTACATATCAGTTTTTTTTACTCGAAAAATGTAAATTTTATGTCTACGATGTTTAACTTTTAAAATCTACTCTTATCGATTTTATTATTACATCTGAAATCAATATAAATAATATAATCATTTAACGAAGTACAATGTACATAATTTATTTTAATTTATAATAAGTTATTAGACCATTTTTCACACGACTGAAAGTATTTAAATTTGTAATTTAATAATTAATAATCTCACTTACGCGTACCTATTTAAATTGTTTATAATCACTAACTAATGAAGATCATCGATAATTTACATTCCTTAATTCTTATGGCAACCATTATTAAATCGCTCTCAAAAGATAACGAATTTAAATCATATTTTCTTCTTTAAATATTCAAATGTTGTTAAAATAAAAATCTATCACTTTAGTTTATTTATCCATTGGAAATTAGATGGTGATTTTGCTGTTTTCGAACCTATACGTTTTCACTCACCCCATTCAACACTCGTCCGGTTTTGTATGCATATATAGATAATTGGACAAATGGGCATGAAAGTTAGTGATGTGCAAGGTTAATGCCACTGTCAAGGGTATAATTTCCATAAGCAAACGATTATTTATACGAGTGTTTTTATTATACTTGATTATATGTAGGCCAACTAGGTTTAAATCAACATGTCTTCGACTTAGGAACCGGTTGTAAATAAAGATAGATTGAAATCAGCCGACAATAAATTAATTAAACTAGGTCACGTATCCGCCGCGCCGCGACTTATGAAAGCAACCGTTTTTTTCGATCAACGACCTAAGCCCTCCACCAAGACTGTCTTGTTTGTCTCGAATGTTTCCGTTTTCTGAGCATTCCAGCTATTCCAGTTTTCTTCTTCTATAATGCCATAGGTGCATATAAATTAGACATACTAAACTCGGAGCGATTAATGAATGCATTCATTTTTTTTTTAATTCATTTTAATCTTGATAAAAATATAATATGCTTAATTTAAACGTTTTTGTTTTCGTAGGAAGGGGACATCATAAGAAAAAGAAGATCCAAAAGGAAATCAAGAAATTCGTGTTGAAGGTTCTGTTCGGTATCTACCTGTTCAAGCAAAAGATCAAGATGATCATCATGACAATCCAATCGATATTGATGAGCAAGTTCTTGGTCGTCGCAATGATCTACGCCATTTCCAACACATTCAAGATCTGGTACGATATCAAGTGGGGCAAGCACGGTCACCACGACAAGGTTGTGTACTACGAGAATGCCCACCACCAACACCATTATGAGCCCCCAGAGCACGGCGAGTACGACGACCATCACGAACATCACGGTTTTGGAAGCAGCATCTGGGGTAGGAGTATTGTGGCCACCGAACCTTCGGTAATGGAACAGTCTGGCGGCGGTTCACCTGGTTCTCAAGATGGCATCAGCCGTTATATCAGACGCGTGTCCAGGACCGCACAGCCCCAGGCTGGAGCACAAGCCATGGCCTATGGAGGTCAAATCCCGAGTCAATAAACAGCCACACTTTCCAATATTCACACCCTAACCAAAACTAGAAAATATTAGGACTTTTTTTTTCCCCCCACTATTATATTATCTGTATACTATAAAGAGCGACGAGTGCAATACGATGCATAGTTGAAAATGCATTCGTCGGAGGCTATAATTATTCAGAGGGATGAGCCGATCACGGGAATCGGCAATCTCATAGACAAACTCTACTGTCTGACTATTTAATTATATAAATCAAAAGACGTTATGAGAAAACATTCTTATTCAATGGAAAGTAATTTTCCTGTAATTCCTAAACTAGGCCATAATATTATCATTAACTTGTATGCACTCCATATTTATTATATATATATATACTTTTATTTAATTAGGATCGTAATCGTCCTTAACAAAATAAAATTAGAATTATATATAGTTTGACAACTCATTAGTCTGGTCAGTTAGATTATATTTAATAATTAATTTGAAACTTATAGTGTTAGTGTAAAAGACTTTTGTTTGTTTACTTAATTTAAACTAATATATTATTATTGCACTTAAATTAATGTTAAAAAAGTTAGTTTGTCGTTTGTATGATAGGCATACATGCCACATACCTATACTCAAATATAACAAACATGACATTTACGGGATAAAACCTGGCCTACGAAATTGCTCAATATTTTTGGATTCAATAACAATAGTTAAATGTTAATCGATGTATTAATTTGATTTATATATCATGAGGATGATACTAAAATGAAAATTATTATCCAGAATAATGATATTACGCATTCATATTATATACTTATTGTATAATTTATTTATTTATTTATTTATTTATTTATTTATATTAATTTATTATATTTTTTTTTTACATTGTAAAATAAAAGTTTTCATCTGAATAGTTTGGTTTTCCTACTACCTATTTACTTCAAATATATATTATTACGATTTATAAGGTACATTGGTATGTTATAATATACCCATTTTATACATTATATTGTACTCAATAACAGTTAATAATGCTAATTAAGTGTCTACCTATCTATATCAATATTCTTAATACCTAATCTGACCTATGAGGTGATGGTATGTTTTGTGATGGTTGAACAAATATTTACACAGAGAGGTACCGAAAGAACTAAAATAAATTAAACTTAGGTGTAGAGCGAAAAAGTGAAAAGTGAATTTATTGAAATTGGAGTGTTTTAAAAAAATTACAAAATTACAGCGATGTTAAAATCGTTAATATATAATTAAAATTTTCATTATTCGACACCGCAAAATGTATTATTAACAACTAGGTACATACGCAATGACAGAGAATTGGTACGATTTATTGATGTGGTTAGATTTTTTAAAATTATATTTTCTCTCATTTTAATCATAGTATGTGTAATGTATATGATGTTATATTGAGGTAAAGTGTAAAATTGAATTTTACAAAATTTAAATTTATGGATTGGGTCTTTAAAAATGAATTGAATGTAACACAATAAGTAAATAATTCTAAAATCTTTATCACATAAATTCTATCTATTTCTCTTTTGTATCTTATAGGTACTTTAATATTACATTTTACAGATAACACATAGACTGCACATAAAACAATCGGTCCTTCGAAGTCAAAATTAATTTTAAACGGAACCTACAATTTTCAAAATGTTCACTCAAAATAGTCTACTATGATCAAACTACTATGACACGTATCTGATTAGCTCCAAGTCTCGTTATAAACATGGGCAAAATAATTCACAGATTATAGTAACTGAATTATAAAATAAAATTGTTCTCAATTTTATATTACGAAAAAATACTGTAAATAATGAACTGTGTTTGCCAACAATTTTGTTTATTTTTTTTTTCTAAGCATTTTCGATTACCGATTTAACTATTTAAGTATACTATAGGTAGTTATAAGAAAAAATATTTAGCTCTTGTAAATGAGGTATTTCAGTTAAAAGTATTAATGCATATTATACTAAACTTTAGAGGACCATAGTTAATAACCTAGCCAACCAAAATTGACAATTTGACTGTCAAAATGTTCAGACATATGTACCAGAATCCATAAAAAAATATAGTGGTTAGGAGGTACCATTTGAAAAAATTAAGTCGATTTTATTATTGGTACAACTGTGTGTTTAAAAATTTCGAAAATGTTATAAAAAAAAGTGCCTGTTCAGAATAAAGAAACACGTCTTTTTTTGCTTTAACGAAATTCCATATCATCGATCCATAATTGTTGAACCCCGCGTACTATGACATACGATACACTCTGTATATTTTTTGTATAGTAAAAAATTATACAATAATATAAAGTCGTTAATATGTAATGATACAATTGTTTTGAAGTTAAAGTTGAAAGGGGGCCACTAAGTGTATGGTGTCCCGGGGCCCAATTGATATGCCTTAATAAGGGCTTGTTCGTAATATCCAATGTCACTTTGTGCTGTATGCCTAGAAGACAGCCTAAGACTATTGGTCTTTCGCATGTAGCAGCTACTTGTAAGTAGATAGGTAGGTAGGCACCATTAGAAATAATAGCACTGCTATAACATTGATATAATGATATCTATCCATTTTCGGTCAGGTTTTCGAGTACTTATACTGCTGTAGCAATATTATTAAAAAATGTCTTCACCACTCGTCACGTGCAAAATGTAATCAACAATACTGCTAACTAGTGATGTATATTTGCAGGAAAATGTTTTTCAAAAATTTGTATTTTTATACTTTATTATAAATGTCGAGGGTATAAACATTTTCCTGAATTTATTGAATTTTTCATTTTATTTATTGTTTGAGTTATTTCCACAATTTTACACTTACTACTTTTTATATGTAGTTATTAGTTATTACATATTACATTGTACCTAGTTAACACAAGACCATAAGTCAGAACTATTTTTGATTGATAAATATATTGTATTTAACGTGTAGCTAGGTATACCTATTATATTTTAATGTTAGTTCATTGGGGTCCAGTCATTTAATTCCTAAATAAATAATAAACATTTGACCAACATACCAACCGTACAACCAAACAAATTGATTATGTAAAGAAAAATACATAAAATATCAAATTTTCAAAGAGAGTTGACAATTTTCAGAAAATTTCAATGTAAATAAAATTGCCAAGTCATTATTTCTACGGCTACTTATAAATTGCAGTGCATAATGCACATTCATGGATTTTCGTCAATGTGATATACCTAATATGGATATTGAGTACAGTGTAATGAAATCAAACAAAGCAATAAATCTCTTTGTGTGCATGCACTGAATGGTATAATACGAAAGTGTTCTTAAAATGTAAAAAATCACGTTTGATTACTTTCCTCTTTTTGGATAGTGAAAACCAATTTGTAATTTATAAAAGGGAACCAATGAGCCATACTTAGGAATTGTTGGGCCCAAGGATAATTTTTTGATGGGGCCCCTTAACTTAAAATGTTAATTCAGTTTTTTTTTTTACTACCTATTTCGTTTTTTATATTCAATTTATATTTTAGGATTAATCATACCATAATAGTCCGTAAGTTATTTTATAATTTAATGTTTATGGATACAAATAAATCGTAAATGAGTATATGACTGTATTACAGTAATATACGGGGGGCCCATATTTTGTCGGGCTGCAGCCCCCTAGCCCCCCTAAGTAGGGTTCTGATTGTGAATATAGGTATATCTACTGCAGTAATAATAAAAATAATATATCATCATCCAGTTCATCTGTTCTAATGTATCTTATTAAATTCTATTACTACTAAATACTAATGAAAAAATATGGTAAAATGATTTAATTTCCTGGCATTCAAATTTTAAACATTACAATCTGACCAGAGCAGATTTGATCTCCGGGCAGTAGGTTATTGGACACGTCTAGGTTTTGTATTAATAAAAAATATGATGAATATAAAAAAAATAAAAATTCACCACTTACAAAATTAAAATTAAATTAAACACCAATTTCGTTTTTAAAAGGCAATTTTTCGAAATGTTAAGGAGAGTTTAGGTACTAGTTTTGGCAAAATTATCAAGTGAAAATGCAGGTTTTAGAATATTGTTGTACCTCAACGGATGCAATGATTAATCATCAAAATGAAAAATATTCACAAAAGTATACCTAGCTTCAGTCCGTTTTTTGTTTTTAAACAATCTTAGTTAAAAATGTCTATTGTAGATTCGCTTAAGAACAATACATATAATATATGCCACATATCTAGGTACAGCATATTAGACGCATGTGGAACATGTGTTAGGTTTCATCCTTTATTATACTTGTATAGGTAGTGCTAAACTGTCTTACGTCATTCATACTTATTAGTTATTTTAAACATACATTTTTATGTAATCATTTTTCAAGAACTTGTCTCACGCAACTCAAACTCCGTAATATCACTCTTCGGAAATATAATACCTATGCACTTTTCTTTGAATAGGGAAAAATAATTAAAACTGTTTATAATTATTTAAATTGTATAGACACGTGTAATGTAATTACTTAATATTGTGTTAAAATTGCAGTGATCGTGTCCGGTATAGGAAGAACAACGATTATCTTAAGATGAATTATTTATATTAATTTTCTGCAGTTGTATACTTGTCTGTGTTTTCCGGTCGTTTGATAGGAATAACTACTAATAATAAGTAACAATTATTAAAATTACTGTTACGAGTGACGTCACTGAATGTGTTTACAATAGATACATTATTAAATTGTATATTTATTATTTAATAATATTATATAATATAATATATAGGTATAATGGTAGGTATAAATTTAACGTTTTTTCAAATTAAAAATTCAACGCACAGACCGAAAAGTTAAAATTTCTACATGTATTTTATCTATAACATGACCAAATAGATAATAGATAAATTTAATTAAAAAATGTAAAATGTTGGAGTTTGGAGTTTTGGACTCTTTAATAGTGGTTGTAGGTAAAAAGATTCATTGAAAACGATTCTTAGCGGAGACGGTCCATTAGCAGCTTTTGCCTTTATCAAGTATATTATATTAAAGTAACTGAATTTAATATTAGTATTTATTACGATAGATTGATTTAATTTTTGCCGAAAACATTGCATTAATTATAAATATTTAATTATTATAAAAGTGTATATTTATATCATATTATATTATTGTTAATTGTTATTAACTTTTGAGTCAATATAAGTACCACCTTACGGTAGAACAGCTTGAATAGGTTCAAGGTAAATGCCTAGGTCAGTTTCTAATTTTTTTTGGTTTTTTTTTTCTACAAATATCAATGAAATTTTATTTGATGGGTAAAAAAGCGTGAAAATTTAAAGCAAGGCTTTTGATATATTGTTACAATAACAGTTGAAAAATATTAAAAATACATATGCACAATTTTTTTATAAGGATTTAAAGTTCAAATGTTGACAAAATTTATCAAATTTAAAATTTAATTATTATTTTGTAGTTGAAAATGTATAATATGTTCAACTTTTATAGCTTAGGATTAAAAGTGTAAAACGAGGTTAAAAGTGGGTAAATAGATAAATATATAAATTACTTTATTCACAATAATATCATTAAATATATTTGGTAATATCATAGGCTAACTGACCGTTTTCGCTCAGAATCGTTTTTCTTATAAAATGATATTATATCATAAATCATTGAATTCAAATGTACCACCATGCATTGAAGTGACCCACTTGTAACCTACTGTACATCAGAGTGACATCCACTTACCCACTTTTTTTACTATTAACCCCCCAAAATACCGATTAGATTCGCTTTCCTGCCAGAAAAGATGCTGAAGTATACAGTTGAAGCATTTTTGTTGCACCGAAAAATGATGACAGACACAACAAAAATGTTTAAAATTGTACAATTATTATTTTTAAATCATTAATCAATCATTGTTTCGCTTAGGCTCTAAAATAGTCTAAATTCCAAAACAAAGGTGTCCAACAAAGTTACAATGTTCCCAATATAAATTATACTATTATACTATTAATTATTATCTTGCACGACTTTGCCCATTACAAATTAAATGCCAGTGGATTTACCCTTACTTGAAGCCAGTTACATTTAAGCTACATTTTAGACTGTTGTTTTGACTAAATATTTATATACATTATACAATTGAATCAAAATTAATAACTATTTTATTCTCTGTAGCTACAACTTTTGGTATCTATAGTATATTATTCAAACTAATATTATTCGTTTTTCAGGAGCCTCTCTTTAAAATGCAAAATTTAAATAATTGACTTTGAGGGGCTCATCCTTTGCAAGTATAGGTGTTATAGGTTAGAATAGAATTACTAAATGTATCAAATTTCAGAATCATAAATATAATACTGTCAGATGCTTACACACACACACACACACACACACACACACAAGTTCACTCACTCGCACTCAAATATTGCCTTACTGGTGAAAAACAGAACGGTATGCGTAGCGCACTCTGGCTGGCTTTCAGCTCATGATTAGTTTCCTATATTCGTGTTCAGTTTATAACTTATGATTAATTTTCATATTATTTCACGTTATTTTTAAGAAATCTTTCAATTAAGTGATCAGTCACAAAGGTACTATAACGTAATAATACTAATAAATAATAATACCTACCAAGGTACCTATTTTATTACAATGGTTTTTTTTTACTTTACAATTATCGCTATAGGTTGAATACTATGTACAATAAAATAATGAGTTATCAGAAACTTCAATTAATCCTTTTATAATTTAATATTTTTAAGAGTAACATAGTGTAATTAAAAAAAATCTTGAAATAAGCAGTATAGTTTTCTGAATTATTGTTAATTATTTGAACAAAAAATAAAAAGGAAAAATGTATTAAATCTAATAAGAACTACGAAGGAGGAATTTAGTAGGTGACTTCTTAAGCTTGTCCTACGCGTTATTCACTATATATAGCGCCTTAAATTATTGTTTTATTGGCTTGAATTATAGTGTAAAAAGAAAAAACTTACTAGATTTTCTTTGAATACTATAATTTCTAAAAGCCAATTAATTACACACTTAGCTTATAAATACAAGCAGCAACAAGCTTATAACATATTTTCTTGTTGTTCTTCAATAATTTAAATCTGATATTTGATTGTGTGTAATCAATACGAAATAGTAGCAATAACGTCTTATAAATAACAAAATAAATAACAATAAATTAAGTAGGTACTTATATAATATAATTTAGGTATTTTAATTTTTTTTTTAATAATAAATCAAAATTACAGATTACATATTATTGTATATTTAAGATATATTGCCAGCATATTCTGATCCTACGATCATGTTTGTTAATGATTTTGTTTGAGTTCAAAAAAATTATATTTTAATTGTTTGAAACATATTTACAAAATAAAAACTATTTTGGAATACCTTTACTTCAACAATTACTTTTTATGAAAATTGATGTATTATCAGAAAGAAATAAATTATTTATTTCAAATAATTAGAATTTTCCACTCTAGTACTCCACATTTCTAAATTAAACTGCAAATCGTCAATGTCTACTGAATGTTTGAACACATTATAATTCAAAATTATCAATATTTTTAATTATACTATAGGAGAAACGTTTTTTGTTTATAAGTTATAATGCTTATTTATGTATTTACGATTTTTCAATAATTATAAAATCAATAGGACTCGCTAAAAAAATGAATACAACATACAATATTCTAGTAAAATGAAATGTTATTAATTCACAAAATAATTTTATTACAATCGCTTAAAATTCTAGTCATATAATAGTATTTAGATAATTTATTAAATGTATATTTAAACTAGGCTATTGAGAAAAATTACTAACAATTTTAAATGATTATGTCGTTGTCGGGCTTCATCTGAGTTTTTTCGTTGACATAATTTAGATTCGAGGAGCATGCTCCAGGTTGGATCCTGTTTTAATAAAACAATTATTTTACTTACCTATATTTATGAAAGATATTTTAGTAGTTTACCAAAATAAATTATTTATATTTACCTTTTGCAACGAAGTAAATTAGGTAATCCTGTGAAATCACAATATATACCATAGGACGGCAAACAGAGTGTAAAATAGTAAGGATCTGTAAACAATTATATAAACCAAACTTTAGTTTTAAACATTTTAGACTTTTTTTTCTTGTAATGTAAATGTAAGTGTTTTTAAGAATTTTGTTCAAGATATTTAACAAGACACTATAATATTAATTTCTCTAACAAAAAAACTTGAGTATTTTACCGATAAAATGTTAAACTCAAAAAAATTTTTTTTATATTAAACATTTCTGAGAACATTATAGTTTTTAATTTAAAATGGATAGTACAATTTTAACATTTGTATTTGATTCATAAGACTCAAGTATTAAAATTAAAAGAATAAGGAATAGGTATTTAACTCCAACATTTTTTGATTTTGATTGCCATTTTCGAAATAAAGACACGTCTTATAAAAAAAATTTTGAAAATTAATTATTGATTTTTTAAAATTATTTTAAGAACTTGTTATCAGGGGCCTTATATTGAATTTACAAGTTTTTCGACTTAAAAAAATACGATATTAATACGAATCGGAAAAAATTTAAAAAGTTGAAAATTTAAAATCTTTGAACAAATTTAAATTATAACATGCTTATAAAGAATAAAATGTTATTTCAAATATCCAGTGAAAATTTCAAGTTGTATATATAGTTGGTTATCTATTTACTTTTTAATTACAACGAATGAACAAAATCGAATTTTACAAACTGCAGATTTTTTAAAATCAATTTATGTAACCCGCCACCCTTACAGAATATTTTTAAAAATACAGTAAATTTTTACTTTTATTAACTAGGTCCAATTTTCACCAGACAAATTGAAGATCAAAGCATTTTTACTGATGCAAAATATGATGTCACAATAAAATAATAAATATATATTCATTTTTTAATAGTAGGTAATATCTTAAAAAATTTAACTGTTCAATATTTTTTTAATCTAAATTAAGTTAAATATAAATAGTTTCATGTAAAATGACGATTTATTTTTTAAGTTAATCTTTACTATTTTTTTTTTCAAAATTATGTTTTATTTATTAAAACAAAATACAAAACGTTTGTTTAAAATTTTATAACGATACTATTTGGATTAAAATTTAATCAAATAGTATTACATAGTATTGCGTACATACCACACATTAGTAAAAATTATTATATATATAGTTATTAATTGTTTAAATAAATTAAGAAATGCATAAAAATGTATAAAAATATTTTACCTGTAATTGAGTTAGTACTTCGTTTACCGTACCTTGATATGTAAAAACCTCTTTCTATCCTAGGTGGTACATTGTCCACTGATCGTGTTTTTACCATGGCAGCATAACGAATATCTTAAAATATTACAAATTAATTTAATAAACCTGCAAGTTATTTAATTAACACAATTATTGTTTATCTAATTGAAAAACGTGAACAAGTGATAATAAAATAATATATTTTTGGGGGACGTAGTGGCCTGAGCTGATTAAGGCGTCGGTTGCGACGCGCACCGTCGCCGGTTCGAATCTCGGCCTCGGGCGGCACTTCTTTTCGGACAGTCACGGTGTCTGGAGAGAGAGGCCGCCATCTCCCTCCCGGGCATGGCAGATACCTACGGGTGCCCACTTGAAAACTCTGCCAAACTAAAAACACACGTGTTTACCAACCTACAGTATCTTCCTCTACAAACAAACAAACAAACAAACAGCTAATGGCCAAAGTTGCCGGGCTTAATAATCAATAAAATAAAAATAATAACCAATAAATAATAGGTATTATTGTGCTAATGTGAATTTGTTAATAATTAGCAAATATCTACTACCTAATATATAAATGTAATCTTTTTAGGGGACGGAGTGGTTGAGCGAACCACAGGGGCGGTTCCGACGCGTACCATCACCTGTTCGAAACTCGACTACGGGCGGCCAAGGCAACTGTCTAGAAAGAGAGACCACCATCCCCCGATCGGGCATAGTATAGAAACCTACGGGTGCCCAATTCTGCCGAAACTAAAACACTAAACACGTATGTATTAGGCTTTAGATACTACTGATTTGATTTGATTTTTTTATTATTTGCAACTTTTTAAGGAATACTTTAATGTTTTAGAGCGTTTTTAAAGTTTTAGAACATTTTTCACATAACTTTTTAAACTGTAAAAAACATATTTTTGGATTTTTTTTTGTTGTTAAATGCATTCTAAAAATGAAAACCCAGCCTCAATGACAAACGTATTTTGAACTACCTTGCCATTAAACTAAAAAGAAAACTCCAAAACTTTAAAAACAAATCTTATTACAACTATATATCCAATTTAAATCCAACAAATGGCTATCTCTGGAAAGCCACCAAGAAATTATTTAACCATGTGGAACCTATACCTCCACCCTGCACTTCACCGACCGGACAGTTCTAAAATTATATAGATGACAAGGAAAAATTCAGTGTATTTGCTCACGAACACCTCTCCTCCTCTTTCTTTAAGCCTCAAAATATCCAAGCCAACCCTCATCAATATACTAAAAATGTAATCTGTTTCTATGCCAGCCCACTTTCAATATCCTTGACCGCAAATGGCGAATCTCCGTTTCCAAATCAGATCATGTTTCGAATTAAAGATCAGATCAGATATAGTTTAGCCAATTCCTATAATAACGTCATAATTATTCATGTGCATTCTGCAGTCAGCGAATGATTATCGTTTATCCTTTGGAGAATTTTTTTTTATTTAGCTAAATTCTTAACGAATAATATTTAAATTATAAAATAATGTTATTTATAATTATCTGAATAATTTAAAATACTAAATAGGTAATACGATATCAACATATTATATTTATATATATTATATGTAGTCGATTATATTATATACAATCGATTATAAAAGGGTATAATTCAATAGGTACCTAACAATAAAAAATATTTTGATAGAGTTGTCAATAAATACAATATATATATTCCCCAATTTTAATCATTTTCGATTGAACAAACATTAACAATAAAACTTTCTATTAAAGTCATCACAATGAACTTATGTCTATACTTTAACATTCGCCATAAGGGTAGGCACTTATGAACCTACCTCATACTTACACTTATATACAACCAATTACTACTTAATATCACATTTATATATGAACCAACTGTTTGTACCTGGTATATGCTCATCGTGTCTTTTACCAAAGCGGCCGCCGGTTTGAAAGAACTTATCTGATGCTGTCGTGTTATCCGGCATTATTAACAAAAATGTCGAACCAAGAATGCATAGTATTGTTATCGTTACGCTCATCGTCATTTTATCAACGTCACTTAATTTTTCTAGAAAAGAATAACACGATAGTATTATTTTTAGATAACATTTAAGCACATATAATAGATACATATAAATAATTAAATAAACATCGAATAAAATGGTGTTTTTTATTTAATAAAATACTTAATGAACATTTTAGAACAACTCGTTTAATCTATAGGTACACAAACAATTGAGCAACATGTAACAAATTCGAACTCCATGAATGTAAAATTTGCAATGTAGTCTTACATGCAAGCCGTGACAGGCTACACGCTCTTTTGAGTATACGTGTTAATACAAATATTTTAAGACGAAAACACTTAAAAATATATTTACAAAGAAAACAAAACAATGTTATTAATCCAAGTAATTTCAAACTCGATTAAAATTACTAACGAACATTATCAAAAGGTATATATTGTATTATATTTACAATAAATTGTGTATCACAAACAGTATTTTTAATCCCGAACTAAGTATTGAAGAGTTATTGATTCAATAATTAAGTGCACGTCCTTATTTCTTTTAATAGTGTTACGTTTTTCTGGCAGGTGGTAAAATACTTAAAAAGATTCATACGGTAAATTTATGAAAATAACAGAGTAGTTACCAGAAGTCCAGAAGTTATTATTTAAAAACACCGAAATTAGAACAAAGTTATTAATATAATTAAGTTATTGATAGGTATATATCAATGGATACACCTCACATTCTGTACAAAATAGGTATAAATGTATAATATAAATGTTTTTTTTAAAGTGAATGATAAATCTCTATTCTCTACATAGGTTAGTGATAATTTAAGATAAATTATTGTAAAAATATTCATAGTCAGTTGAACATACGATGCTTAGTATACCTACTATAATAATTAATATATGTACGACCCTAACACCCTACCTTATATAGTTATATATAGGTTATAACAGAGGTTGCACAACTTTAAAACAAATGAGTTACATTAAAAGTATCTGCTGATCAACCATTGCTTTGTATTTATGAAATATATTATTTATATTATTTCATGCAGTACCTATAATAATAATAAATTGTAGCCATAGGTATTAATATTAATATTCTTCTTTTATTATATTTTATCCATCGGAAAATTGTAAGTTTTTCATCGCTAGTAAATAATTTACTTTGAATAATATAATGAGTAAAAGTATGTTTAAGATTACCCACATGAATAATATTAATCTTTAATACAATCGACCAATATTCCTCAAAATATTATAGCCATCTAATGTTTGGCGATCCCTGGGCTATAACATAATAATATGGCATATATTCAAATTGAATGCAAGATAATTGATAACAATGATAATATTGTCAGTAAAAATCTTACCATATCTTGGAACATTATGACTTATGGTTTATAAGTGCAGGTTACCATGAAGTAAGTAAATAAATAAATAAATGTAACTATACAAAGGATGAAAACATAAAATGAATAGATGATGTTATTATGATTGTTACTATATGATAATATTATCTAACTTTATTTCGTATATAGATATTAAGTACCTACCTAGATGTAATAATATATTAATTAGGTATTTAAATGTGTGGACATGTTTATCAAAATTTAAAATAATATAATATAGCTAATAGCCTGCACATGTAAGGACACGGTAAGGGGTACTTAGGATAAAGAAAATTATATTATTCTAAAATAAGTAATTACCTAAAAGGTATGTAAGGTAGGTACCTTATAATAGTATACAATATTAGTCACCAGTTTTAGAAAATGTAATATAAGCATTAAGTTGATAGTAAACGTGCTTTAATATCTTTAAAAACTTAAATTAGTAATATATTACTACTATATACCGACACACTATACATATATTATAGTCCTTCTTGTTTATAACTTAGGTAATCACTTCGATGTTTGAAGTTTAATTAGTTTTCATTAAATAAATTGGTTTGTAATAAATATAATTATTTATTTTTAAAAAGAAAAACTCATTATAGGTGGGTTGGTGGGTATATTTTACAATGTACCTACGTGTTTTATTATAAAATTGAAATCATCATAAATATTATATATTTTGTAAGCGCAGTAAGTATTATAGTAAAGTTTATAGTAAACCGGTGGCAATTATAGTTATGGGTGGCATATTTTGATCAGTACCTAAATAAGTTAATGTCGATTCGACAATGGTTTGTACTTTGTACAGAATATTCACATAATTATGATATCGATAAATACTAATAAGTTAATAATGACGACACCGTGCTCCTGTCAATTATCTTGATAGGTATTAATCAAAAGATATTATCAAATAAAAATTATACTGGTGTGTATGTCCAATAGTTGTCACAGTTTTTTTTTATTTATTTTTAAAAGCTTAATATTTTTGTGGAAAATCGTATTTACTATTGTGTATTTTTATATGATTAGGTAAGTACTAGATATCTGTCAAAGTGGCAACACTTATTAAAATCACTGTGACAAGTATGTATAGTTTCTATATGGATTTTGTAATACAACTTATTTATTGCCTAGGTAGGTACTATAGAAATATTAGAAATAATAACATTTCAATTATTAATTGTGTTTCTTATTTATATGAAATTCTGATTGTGTTTTAATTTGCCTGTGTAAGGACTAAGGTTCTATGAATGTATTAAGTATTTTCAAATTAAAAGTATTGGTTAAGTATTTAAATGCTTTTAGTTTTAAGAATACGTTCTTATAGGTATACAAATATTTACGATAAAATATTTAATTTTATCACAGAACCAATCTACTATAATTTAACATATTTTAAAGATAGTTAGTTGTCACTGTAGAATAATTGCACTAAATATTAAGTTTAATTTGAGGGAATTTCATGACTATGGTATTCGTAGGTATGTGGTATACTTAAAATCATTTTATATCCTTGATGACTATCAATTAATTAATAATATTATACCTATTGGTAAAACTAGCTGTAGAATTGGGGTAGAGGGTTTGGCTTCCAAATAGTTGTATAAATAATATTGTATACCTAATAAGCCTACAAAATTTTTTTTAATGAGGCATAACTTTGGCTAAGAACAGAGTATGCTACAAGACGTCAAGACCTAATAAAAACATCAACAATGAATATTTCTTTGTTAAATACCTGCTTAACAAATTGTTCATATTTTTTTTTAAATGATTTGTACATTTTTATTTCATAAATATTAAAAATATATTATCGCAAAATCATAATACTCTACAAAGAATATTTAATAACACATTATTGAAATGTAATTTTGAAAACTATATGGCTATTTTTCAATAGTAAAGAATATAATATTAGGTACCTATTTACAGTAAATACAGTAAAGCTCTGAATTTTTTTTCATTAGAGAATGCAGCTCGTTGTTGTCTCATTTCCCATGCGCAACATAGACAAAACGCATTTACGCGGAATAATTTTTTTTTTTATGTTTTTGAGTTGTCATAGTGTAAAAACCACCCATTACTAAAATGATCGATAGTTATATTATTTCTGATGATATAACATATAGATTTGTCTAAAAATTGTCTCAAAAATATTTTAAACATAATTTAAATTTACAATTTTTTTTTATTTTGAAATTCGAATTCAAACTCATATAATAATAAAATATAAAACCTATAAGTCAAACAATCAAAAATATTTTTTTCGAGAATTTTTGTGACATACTGTGACATACTTTGAGATAAGGTACTCAAAAATTATAAAAAAAAAAAAAACGATTTAAGATAAAGCGTTTTATCTATGTTGCAAGTGGGTCTGAGAATGAAAACAAATATTGCTAACTAAAGCCTAAAGGTAGCATTGTTTTTGTTTTATTTACTATAGTTGTTATCATATAAATGTTGTCTTAGATGCCAAGTTAAAAAAAAAATGGTTACCTAATCGTAAAAATTGACAAAATGTACGGATGGGGTAAGTTGGGCAACCCACCCTAGGACCACTCTAAGAACGACATACGTTACGGCCTACGATTGATCAATTTCGAAATATGTGATAAGTTTTATATTATATAGCTTCAGAGACCGCAGTGCCAGTTCGAATGCTAAGTACCTATATAATATAAAATATTTTGCATATAATATTTATATTAAACCATTATATGCATATTACATTATTATTTATATTAGGTACCTGTTATAATTCTGCAGGTTTTGACTCTGTTCAAAAGGATACAATGAGATATATATCATTATATATATATATATATATATATATATGTATATATATATATATATGTATATATTTATACCAACTACTTTGATTATATAGCTGAAAAATAATTCGTGATCAGCATAAATTAGGGTTATGTAATCATCTTTGCGTTTAAATAATTGGATTTACATTTACAAGTATACAACCCACCTTGTAGGTTTCAAAGCCAATATTTTACACACGATGTGACACGTGTCTAAAAAACCATACTCTACTTTGAGAAATCGAAATCTCACATTTTTATTGCAGCGTGTAATCAATAATTTATATTATACCTATCACATTTATGCATGTCGCATTTGATGATCATATTATGATGGTATAGCTGGTTAAGAGTTTAAGACCGTATGTTAATGTTTTGACCATTCGATTATGTTTAAGTCTGCAGATTCAACTGCGTTTTATGATATAAAACTTATATCTATTTATATTTTATACTTAAACCGTAGTATGATTTTTCGGAACTTTTATATCAAACGAGGAAGATGGGTTATTTTCTAATTTTCAAAGACTCAAGTAAGTAAGTTTTCTCATGGAACTTTATTCTATAAAAAAATATACAAGGTCACTATATTATTATCAATAAATACACGTTTCACTAACAAAATTAAAGTAAGTAATATTAATATAGAGGCCAGGTAGGAACTTTTTAATTTAACTACTAACAAATTATTGAAGTCAACTAATAAAATATTGTATTATATATTATACACTTTAGAGACAAATATGCCTAATTTATACCTACATGGTTGAATTTATTTTATACAACCGACATATTTTATTTATTTG